AGCAAGCACTAGGCAAGGTGCTGCAGGCTCGTTTAATGCAGGAGGGGGCAGGCTTTATATTTCCCTTTTCTCTGCCCCCAAATCCCTTTAGTCAGTGTATTGTTTTCTGATTGGTCTGTGCCATGCAGTCTGTCAGCAGTCACTGGTCTCGTGAGCAGGGTACGGAGGTGTGGGCTCCTTTTGGCAGGCTATTTGCGGACCAAGAAGTGAAGTGAATTCTCACTGAATCCCAGGGCTCTGGGTCCGCGCCTTCTTTGGAGGCCTCCTGATGATGCTTCTGACTCCTTAGGTTTTGAAGTCACAGGTTTGAGGAGCTGAAGAACTTCTGGGTATCACATTTTATTAAAGTTCACCCAGAAACATCTATAGCTGGAGATAGCACTGTCTTTATATTTATAATTCCATATATCAGTTCAGGGTAGTCACAGATCAGAATTTGGTTGATTTTTATCATGTAGTAGGTGTTTGGAAGTAGGTGGTCCAGGGTTAACATGGAAGCCCTCAGAAATCAGGAGCCAAGTGATTTTCCTTCAGCTCAACCTTCCTTACTTGTGACTTTTAGCTTCATGCTTGTCACCTTGTGATTATCTGATGGTCACTTCCTTCCAGTATGGCCACCCCATCCCAGGAAGGAAGAGGAGACAGATGAAGAGCATGACTCCCATCAAGTAACCCTAGTACAATGGTATTGGCCAAATTGGTGTTACATGGCTCTCTCTCTAGCTGATAAGGAAGCAGGGCTTTATATCTCTGCCTGGGTGTAAGCACACTTTGAACAAAAATATGTTTCTGTTCATATGCACAAATAGGAGGAAGAAAATCCACAGCGCCTCTCATATTCTTTAACCCTCAAGTCACATATAAAAAAATTCTCTGTTGACAAACTTGTTTTGTAAAGGGCATAAAGTGGCTCTTTTAGTCTTCGAGGGCCAAATGGTCTTGATGCAACTATTCAACTCTGTGACTACAGAGTGGAAACAGCCATCAGCAGTGTATTAAGAAATGAGCAGGGCTATGTTCCAATGAAATTTTAATTGATAAAACAGCCAGTGGGGAAAATGTACGGACCATAGTTTGTCAACCCCCAACTCAGATTTTCTTATATGATTTTTCTATTTATTAAGCTAGGGCACCTCAGGCAAGGTGAAGTCTTTCAGAAAGATTGTTCCTTTGCTGTTAAACATAACCAATGGCCATGTGTGTCAGGCTAAAGTATTTGACAGATCTGAGGTTATTACACAAGTAAGCTGCAGAGGCCCCCGGCTCTGCAGATCACTCCAGAGATGCCAGCCTAGCTGAGAGACACATGACACTCCAGGTCAAGTGCTGACACTGGAGGAAATATTGGCAGCTGCCAGCCTGCCACAGCCGCAGCCACAGATGGAATTACTTAGGCTCTCTCCACCGCCCCCATTTCTCCCTCCCACTGGATTACACTCTAGAGAAGGATATCTGATAAAGTCAGTTTAATAAGGGGGTCCTTGTTAGCTAGGAAAGAACATATTTTCTTAAATAAAAGCAATGTGATGAGTTGTCAAAATGTCAATGTTTAGTCCTTAAGAAACACCTTTCAGACCATAGTTAAAAGAGCAAAGAGGTCAAATTAACCACAAACACAAAGTTCTAGTACCTTTTCCCTCTAGTCCATAGCCAAAGTTAAATAAATGTGTACTCCAGGCCACTTAAGGACTTAAACTTGTGCTGTATCTTTTTTGCAATATTTCTCAGAATAGACTTTCTTATACACTGTGAGACAAAAGAGTTATGAATACTTGATACTGTATCCAGTAGTGGAAAAGTCCTTATCTTAGAGATAGTCTGAGTAGTGATTTCCCCATAAGCCTCTGAGCCATGTTTCTCTGTCAGTCTAGAAATACAACACCTCCAAAGTCTATCAACATGAAGTTTAAGTAAGTTATTACATGGAGAGCTTCTGGTATACGTAAGATGCTCAAAATCTGTTAGTTCGGTTTACCTTCAACTCCTTCCTCAAAAATTAGAACCAGTACACTATCTAGCTTAATCCCTTTCATAAGGCATCAGGTCGTCCTCATATGGAGGTCCAATAACATTCATGTGACCACATTTAAGTCATTTGCAGGAAAGAAAAGGAATCATTTTAGAAATCCAAAATTGCTTGCAGTGGAAATACTTTCTTCTCACTCAAGGCACTTTGCCTGATAGCCATGAAATGCTCTTTTCCATGGCCTGGGTGATTTCTGACATTCATGTAATGTATGGCCAGTGAGAAGGTCAAAGTCCACATCTTTGAGTCCTACTGGGCCAAATGGACTAACAACATTTTAATTTTCAGATCAGAAGACAGAAGATGATGCAAAGAAAGGCAAACTTCTGAGGCAAGACCCACAGTAGGAGTCTCTTGGCAACAGACATGATCACAGTGCATATGCAGACTGATGCCTTGTCTGTCTTGTCATTCATAAGTATAGGTAATATTTGGCCATGACTGCTGAGGGCTTTCTCCAGAGAGGTTGGGTTCTTTTACAATAGTTATGATGCATGACACAGCCCTCGTGTCCTATGGCAACCACATTTTTGTTCTAGAGAAAATATAGCTTTAAGTATCCTTAGGGATGTCTTCCAATGGGTCCTGAGCCTGATATGAGCGTCTCATGTTCTTCAGGAGTATCCTTCAGGATGAAGGTACTTTCATCTCAAGGTCATTTCTTAGTCCACTTGGTTGAAAACCAGTTCTTTGAGATTTCCTGATACTTTTTTTTTTTTTTTTTTAAGCTCAGGGAGAGTGTCATGGTCCTTTCTGGAAAGTGCAATCATGGCATCTGTAGCTGGTGAATGCATTGGGTTTTTTTGGTCTAATAGGGAAGTTCCACAGAGAACTTAGACATGCTCTTGGTTGCTGGGAATTCTTAACATCTTTGGAGGGACACCAAAACTGAACTTCCCCAGAATCATCATCACTTTCGGCACTGTCCTCAAAAAATCTGATGTCAGTCTAGCAGAAAACATCTTCAACTAGTATCCCCTGACTTAGTGTACATGAAAAGTGTGAAACTTAAAGTCTAAATATAAGCAAACAACGTGAAAAATGGGTTTCAGGTAACAATAAAACCACTCGGGATGGACTATGTTTGTAAATAATCATTGTGCCATTGGAAAATGCTGTTGCATTCATGTCGGACTTGACCATTCTTTCAATGTCATTTTGGATGTCGAACAGCAAGGTATTAAGGGTTGGTTGAATTGCCTTCCTTTCCTTTCTTAGCTTGGCCTAGGCAGTTTCTGGAACTTCTGTATTACAGTGGGAATTTCATCCTGCCTTCTGTTGCCTAAAGGATGCAGTTGCCTGTTTTGTGCCAGCATATAACTAAAGAAGTGCTGAAGAGCCCAAAAGGATCACTTTGTCAATCTCCATGTTTCAAAAAAATAAAAAATAAATAAAAGCCATAGCTGGGTTTCTGGTAGAAATACCTTCATTTTCCTAGTCCAGCAGTTATCAGATTTAGATGTGCCAGAATTACATGAAGGCACATTAGAAGTAGATTGCTGAGCCCCACCCTCAAGTTTCTAAATTAGTATGTGAGGGGGACATGAGAACCTGCATTTTGAAGTTGTTCCTTGTGCTTAAGGGTCACACATTAAAAATGAGCCTCTTCTCCCATACTGAGTCAGTGAATGCATTTTAACTGATTAAGAAATCAGCAATGTCTTCCTTTGGTGATCAAGACTGGGATAATGTATTTTTAAGTCTAGAGATAAAGACTTCTCCACTGGGGGTGTACTTGGTGGTAAAACACTGGCTTTGTATGTGAGAGGCCCTGGGCTTGATCCCCAGCACTGAAAGAAGCAAAGAAACAAACAAATGGGCATCTGTGAGAAAAAGTCCCCATCGCCACAGCTTAAATGATATTCCGTACAACAGGAAGTCAAATGTGTCTCTGGAAGAGGCGTTAACTGACTTGTACTTATTATTTTTTTCTTTTAGGAACTTCAGTTGCAATCTGGACTAAAGGCTAACATGGACATCCAGGGTGGTCTAGCTATTGATATTTCAGGTTCAATGGAATTCAGTCTGTGGTATCGTGAATCCAAAACCCGAGTGAAAAACCGGTAAGTGTGAGCTTAATACTCTATGCAAAGAAATACAGGAATATGTCTGAGAAGCTGTTTAGCCTTCAGATTTCCCTAGATCTATGCTTAGTCTTTGTGATTGCTAAGTTATGAAGTTAGAAGTGATCATGGGGAATCATTCCATTCACAGCATCGTAGAAACGGGTCACACAACTCAACTGAGAGTCTTTCTGCTTGTAAAGACACCCACAGACAGTATGACCTATATATATAATATATATATTATATACGTACATATATATAATCCTCTCTTTGTATTTCACTTTAGTAGTTGACAGTGCTGTCATGAAATTTGATACTAAATTATTTAAGCTTATCTCTGTGATAGGGTCTTACAACTTCTCATTTGTTGACTTCAGTGATTATAATGACATGATGATCTTTCTTCAACCGCATTAAAAAGGTTTTCCATTGTACATATTCATTGTACATGGTACACTGTTACATGAGGACATTTTCACACAACTATACAAATACATTAAGCTCAGGCTGGAGAGATGGCTCAGCAGTTAAGAGTACTGGCTATTCTTGTAGAGGACACAGGTTTGATTCCCAGCACCCACATGGCAGCTAACAACCGTTCGTAACTCCAGTTCCAGGGGATCTGACACCCTCTTCTGACCTCTGTGGGCATTGCAGGACATGGGTGTCCTTACACAGATGCAGGCAATACTCATATACATAAAATAAGTATTTTTTAAAATAATATGCCAGGCTTGGTGGCGCATGCCTTTAATCCCAGCACTCAGGAGGCAGAGGCAGGCGGATCTCTGTGAGTTAAAGGCCAGCCTGGTCTACATAGTGAGTTCCAGGACAGCTGGGGCTACAGGGAGACCCTGTCTCAAAAAGACCAA